TATACACTATGTTTTTATACAAAAACATGCACCTTCTATGGAAAGTGCCGATTTTCCAATTTTTTTTTTTTTTTACATGCTATAGAAAAATTAGTGTAGTGCGCTTACAAAATACTTCATGGGGGAAGAGAGGAAGCAGCTGACAAACAAACATAGAAAGTGGGTTTATTTGCATAAAAATATTTTGTGGTATGTCCATTTAAATTTGATATGGGGAGAACAGATATTCTTAGTTAGAAGTAAGAAGGTGTTTTTCATCTCATGGCTGTGACTCAATGGTTTTTACAGTCAAGTAGAAAGAGTGTGTATTAGAAACATAGGTGCCAATTTTTCTTCAATTTTTACATTTTATTTTCATCCAAACCAAGTTTTTTGACTGGGATGTCCAAATAACTTCTAAAGCTGAAAGAACTGAAGAAAAAAAATCCAAGTCTCAAGTTGTAATACTGAAGGATATTATGGGCAAGATATTGAATGATACAGGAAGCATCAAAAGAAGATGGAAGGAATACACACAGTCACTGCATCAAAAAGAATTGGTTGACATTCAGCCATTTCAGGAGGTAGAATCAAGAACTGATGGTATTGTGAAAGATGTCCAAGCTATACTGAAGGCATTGCTAAAAAATAAGAGTCTAGAAATTGACAGAATGTTGGTTGAGATGTTAAAAGAAAAAATTAATGTAATACTGCTGCTGCTGTGTGCCTTGGAGTCGTTTCCGACTGATAAGCGACCCTGTACAGGGTTTCCAAGGCTGTAAATCTTTAAGGGAGCAGAAAGCCTTATCTTTCTCCCATAGTTTCGAACTGCTGACTTTAAGGTTCGCAGCCCGATTCATAACCACTATGTTACCAGAGCTCCTTATACTAGAAGTGCTTAATTCATATGTGCAAAAAAATTTGTTTGATTGGCTGATTTAACTAGAAGACATTCATCTTATTATCAGTTTCAAAGAAAGGTGATCCAAAGGATGTGGGCATTTTTTAACAATATCATCAAAATCACATGCAAGTAAAATTTTGCTGAAGATTATTTTAAAATGGCTGTGGCAGTACATTAACAGGGAACTACTAGAAATCACGCTGAATTCAGAAGACGACTTAGAGTGAGGGAGATCATTATTGATGTCAGGTGAATCTTGAATGAAAGCAAAGAAATGCCAGATAGTTACCTATGTTGTGTTGACTGTACACAGGCATTCCCACTGTATGGATCCTAGCAAATTATAGATAACATTGTGAAGAACTGAAATTTCTGTGCTCATGTGGAACCTGTATGTAGACTAGGAGGCCATTCAAACAGAATAATAAGATATTGCACAGTTTTAAATCAGGAAAGGTGTGTATAAAGGTTGTATCCTTTCACCATACTTATTCCTTTTGTATGCTGAACAAAAATGCTGAGAGTTGGATTAAATGAAGAAGAATGTGGCATCAGGATAGTAGGAAGACTCATTAAAACCTGCAATATACAAATGACAAAACTTTGCTTGTTGAGTGATGAAGACCTGAAATACTTACTGATGAAGATCAAACACTACATAGCCTTCAATAAGTATTACACTGCAACAAAAAAGAAAACCAAAATCTTCACAATTGGACCAGTAAGCAACATCATGATAAATGGAGAAAAGTTTGAAGTCGGCAAGGATTTTATTTTACTTAGATCCACAATCAACTCCCATGGAAGCAGTAGTCACTATATAATCAACATATTGCATGAGACAAATATGTTGCAAAAGACGTTAGTGTTAAAAAGCAAGGATGTCACTTTGAGAACTAAGATGTGCCTGCCCCAGGCCATACTATTTTCAGTCACGTTATTTGCATGAGACAGATGGACAAAGAATAAGGAAGGCTGAAGAATTGTGATGCCTTTGAATGAATGGTGGTGTTGAATATTGAATATGCTAAATATACAGAAGAGGAACAAATCTGTATTGAAAGAAGTAGAGTCAGAATGTTCCTCAGAGGGGTATGGCAAGACTTCATCTTACATAGTTTGGACATGTTATCAGACCATCATGCTTGGTAAAGTATTGTTGTTAAGTGCCATCGAGTCGGTTTCGACCCATAGCAACCCTGTATAGGGTTTCTGTGGAGCGGCTGGTGAGCTTGAACTGCCAACCTTGCTTTTCAAACTGACTTCGCAGTTCAGCGCATTAACCCTCAGCGCCACATTAGGACTCCTGGTAAAGTATGTTGTTATTGTTGTTGTTATGTGCCGTGGAGTCGCTTCCGACTCATAGCGACCCTGTACAGGGTTTCCGAGGCTATAAATCTTTACGGGAGCAGAAAGCCTCATCTTTCTCCCGCGGAGCAGCTGGTAGTTTCGAACTGCTGACCTTGTGGTTTGCAGCCCGATTCATAACCACTACGCTACCAGAGCTCCTTCTGGTAAAGTATAGGGTAGATGAAAAAGAGGAGGATCCTCAACAAGGTGGATTGACACAATGGGTGCAATAAAGGGGTTAAACATTGAAAGGCTTGTGAGAATGGTACAGGCCCAGGGATGTTTGGTTCTGTTGTACTGGGTGCTATGAGTAGGTGATCAAAGGCACCTAACAGTAACAAGTCCTGAACCTTTGTAATTTGATTTATTTTGCACTTTTGTGTGATTGATTTGCAATTAAGAATTTACAGGGTAATGTTCTTTAAGTAAGAGAATGTTATTTAATTGGTAGATTTTAATATTCAGTAATTATTCAATATTAATTGTAATAGTTTTCATTTAAAAAAAAATCTTTGCTATGCTGTTCATTTGGGATACAGTGGTTAAATTGATTACATTTCTACTTGCTCAGAACTTAAAAAAACTTTATTGCAAAATGCAGAAAATAAGAATAGGTAATTACCATACTCTAACAATTAGGACATTACATTTCACGATAGAGTCTTGTGATGTCTAATGGCAGTTTATTTATTAGAACCATATTGTTTGTGTGTGTGTGTTAATTAGTGTAAATTCTGTAGCAGAAAGACTTGGTAGTATCTTGTTTAAGTGAGGGAAGGCAGAGAGTATTTAGGGAGTGAGTAACTAGGGGAAAGGAAAGAGACCAAAAGGGTTTCTTTTGTATAGTACGGCAGAAAGATGCATCTTTTAGATGAGGACCTTAAATTTTGTTTAGGCCATAGATTGTTTGCAGAACTTAAAAGATTTGGCGAATATACATAAATAGATTTCAGGGGTTTTATATATTAAAGTATACAAATAAAATTTTACTGAGACTCGAATGAATGCATTTTGCTCCCTCTAACCCCTGGGCATTTGAGAATGCCTGGAAAATTTTGATCTTCACAGTAGAGGGAGTGCTGCTGGCATTTAGTGGGCAGAAGCCAAGAATGATGCTAAATATCCTACAATGCATAAGACAAATCCCCAAACAAAGCATTATCCCACCCAAAATGTCTGAGTACTGAAATTGAGAAACCCTCGTATAGAAGAAAAAGCAGTAAAATCCCAGTCCAGCTCTGCCACTTTTTAGCTGTGGAGTCTGTGTTTCAGTTTCCAGTTGTATCATTTGGATACACTTTTGACCAAGCTTCTAGGGTTGTTTGTAAGAACTAAATGAGCTAATATATCTAAAGTGCTTGTAATACAACATAGAATTACAAACTACATAATAATGAAATAAAGTTCAACATGTAGGCAGATTATAATTATTCTGTCCAAGAAATAAATTTGTGCATGTTGTTATTATTAAGTGCTGTCTAGTTGATTCCTACTCATAGTAACCCTTTATAGGGTTTCCGAATAGCAGTTGGGGGATTTGAACTGCTGGCTTTGCAATTAGCAGTCCAGTACCTAACCTACAACGCTACACCAGGATAACTGTCTCTCTAAATGAGTTCTGTGGGCCAATTGACTGTGTTTGTTTTATCATTATAATTTCAGTGACTGCTCCTAGGAACAAGATAGTAAGCACTTGACAAAGATTTGTTGAATGAACAAATGCTTAAATGATGGAGACTCACCTCAAACTTCCTCCATAATTTTCTTGTTGGGAGTCAAAATATCTGTTGGGAATCCATTTAGCAGACCTTCCACAAGGAGTCCTCCTAGTGTAGTGGTTACATTTTGGGCTGTTAACCGAAAGGTCAACAGTTTGAATCTACCAACTGCACCATGGGAAAAAGATAAAACTTTCGAAAGATGAGACTTTCTGCTCCTGTAAAGATTTATAGCACAGAAAAACTTATTACAGGGTCACTATGAGTCAGAACCAGCTCTAAGGCACACCACCGCCACCACGAGGTTAGAGTGGATGTCAAAGTCCTTTCCAGTACTGACATACAGATCAGAGGATCCTGTCATTCTTGACTGCTTCCCTGAGCCGTGGCCCATTGCCATCAATCTGGAGATAGGATATCAAATTGTTGTCATTAATCTAGTTTAAGAAAGTCTTCTGATTTGAAAGGTTATTCTTAAATTATTTTTTCTATGATAATGCCCCTGGTATGTTTTATTTGGAAATAGTAAAATTAACTTCATTTCCTTATTGATAAAAATGTTCTTAAAGCCATATATTAGATATAGAAGTCAGCTTCTATATGATCCGAAGATTCCAGAGCTTTGGAGTCAGAAGATTTGGTTTTAAACCTGATTTCTTACTATGCCTTTTTCCTGGGCAAGCCACCCACCACACTAAGTCCTCAGTTTCCACCTTTGCCAGCATTAGTTCCCAGGATTACTCTGAATATTATTACATATTATTACATAAATGAACATTTGTTAAGTATTCTTTGTAAGCTCTTATTTTAGTAAACTTTTATTTAGATGCAAAATTTACTGAAATATGATTGCATTGGTTATAGTCAATACTCTGTTAATGATAATACACCTTAGAAGGTTCCAGTTCCCATATAACTACAAATAATGATTATTATAAGTAGAACATTTATTTTCTTAGTAAATGTAATTTTAGGATGTCTTTTAGAGTAATATGGCTATAACTGACTCTGATTTAATTTTTTTTTTAATATGAATTTATTTGTTAGCTATGGAAACCAAAGGATACCACAGTCTCCCTGAAGGTCTAGATATGGAAAGACGGTGGAGTCAAGTTTCTCAGACAGAACGTTCTTCCCTGGGACCTACAGAGAGGACCGATGAGAATAACTACATGGAGATTGTCAACGTAAGCTGTGTTTCCGGTGCTATTCCAAACAACAGTACTCAAGGAAGCAGCAAAGAAAAACACGAACTCCTCCCTTGCCTCCAGCAAGACAATAATCGACCTGGAGTTTTAACATCTGATATTAAAACTGAGTTAGAATCTAAGGAACTTTCCGCAACTGTCGCTGAGTCTATGGGTTTATACATGGATTCCATACGAGATGCTGACTATGCCTATGATCAGCAGAATCAACAAGGAAGTGTGAGTCCTGCGAAAATTTATCAAAATGTTGAACAGTTGGTGAAATTTTACAAAGAAAATGGCCATCGTCCTTCCACTCTCAGTGGCGTGAGCAGGCCCTTGAGATCATTTATGTCTGACCCTGGGAGCTGTGCGAATGGTGGAGTCATGCGTGCCCTTGTGAAAAGCCCTATCATGGGTCCTGAGAAGAGCCCTTCTGTTTGCAGCCCTCTTAACATGACCTCGTCAGTGTGTAGTCCTGTCGGAATCAACTCTGTGTCCTCAACAACAGCCAGCTTCGGCAGTTTCACAGTGCACAGTCCCATCACCCAGGGAACTCCTTTAACATGCTCCCCTAACGTAGAAAACCGAGGCTCCAGGTCACACAGTCCTGCACATGCTAGCAATGTGGGATCTCCCCTCTCAAGTCCTTTAAGTAGCATGAAATCCCCAATTTCCAGCCCTCCGAGTCACTGCAGTGTGAAATCTCCGGTATCCAGTCCGAATAATGCCACTCTGCGATCCTCTGTGTCTAGCCCTGCAAATATCAACAACTCAAGGTGCTCTGTTTCCAGCCCTTCCAACACAAACAACAGATCCACGCTTTCCAGTCCAACAGCCAGTACTGTGGGATCTATCTGTAGCCCTGTAAACGGAGCCTTCAGCTACACCACTTCTGGCACCCCTGTTGGATCCAGTGCAAGTCGGGATGTCGTTCCTAGTCCAGACACACACGAGAAAGGTGCTGCAGAGGTTGCTTTTCCTAAGACTGAGGAAGTCGAGAATGCCATCTCAAATGGTGTGGCTGGTCAGCTCAACATTGTCCAGTATATAAAGCCAGAACCAGATGGCGCTTTCAGCAGCTCATGTCTAGGAGGAAATAGCAAAATAAATTCGGATTCCCCGTTTTCATTACCAATAAAACAAGAATCCACCAAGCATTCATGTTCAGGTACCTCTTTTAAAGGGAATCCAACAGTGAACCCATTTCCATTCATGGATGGCTCATATTTTTCCTTTATGGATGATAAAGACTATTATTCACTATCAGGAATTTTAGGACCACCTGTGCCCGGCTTTGATGGTAATTGTGAAGGCGGCGGGTTCCCTATGGGGATTAAACAAGAACCAGATGATGGAAGCTATTACCCAGAGGCCAGCATCCCTTCATCCGCCATCGTTGGCGTGAATTCTGGTGGACAGTCCTTTCACTACCGGATTGGTGCTCAAGGAACAATATCTTTATCGCGATCTGCTAGAGACCAATCTTTCCAACACCTGAGTTCATTTCCTCCTGTCAGCACTTTAGTGGAGTCATGGAAATCACACGGTGATTTGTCAGCAAGAAGAAGTGATGGATATCCAGTCCTAGAATACATTCCAGAAAACGGATCAAGGTAAGTTGTCCTCTTCTCCTTTCTTGAACATCGTGCCTTTTATACGCGTGCTTTCCTAAAAAAAACGTTGAAGTGAGCACTGTTTTTTAAGTTGATAAATTTAAATATATTTCAACCTTTTTTATTTTCTTAGACATGGTCATTCAGTATTCCTTCCTTTGCTTGTTAGTATAACATTATGTTTGCTGAAGTAGAGGAACAAAAATTTTAAAAAAATATCCCAGAAGATACTTGAGTTGATTTTTAAAGAGGTGTATGTAGGTGTCTTCCCCTTTACATTGTCTGTTTTGGGTATTTGGAAAATGTTTATTTACATTGTTATTATATTTACTTGAACAGACAAATGCTAGATTTTTTGTTTCTTGTTTGTTTGTTTGTTTTCCATCACTAAACTTACTTTAAATTGGATTTTGTGCTTTTAGCCCTTTTTTCCCTTAGCTTTCTTTTAGTTCATTGGTTGTGAAAAATAAAACAAGATTCCCACCCTCCCATTATTTCCTAGGTAGGTTAATTGTATGAAAGTTGTGGTTTTCAACACAACTAAATCATTTCCCTTAACTCTTGAAGGCTTTTAAAGACTCAGCACATCTAAAATTACCAAGTGGACAATCTTGCTTTCTTACTCGTATTGAAAGTGAAGTATGTCACTGCAGTTTTGAAATGATATATTTATAACTTTTCAGATCTGCAAGAAGACATACTTTATTTACTGTAAAATATCTCTTGGCTTTCCTTGTTGCAGATAGCATAGTGTGTATATATTTAGAAAAAACAAGGAAGAGGTTTTATATATGACTGTAATGGGTGGTTCTAATTATACAAGGAATTGTTGCATTGGACTTTGCTTTGGTACTGTTTTTATTACATGGCTGTGATAAATGATCTTTTTATTGAATGTATAAAAAATAGATTTCCCAGATATAGCACATTCCATTGGAATCTAGGAATATGTGGGCATTTTATTTCTCTATAAATTTCTTTTGTGGAAAATACATCCATCCCATCCACATAGGGGTTTATGTGTAGTCCCCTATCTCTCTCTCTTTTCCTTTCCAGACAAAAAACAACTTTGTGTTTCCTTTTCCTTGTCATTGGCTGAAAAACTTTCCTTGCTCCTTTTCCTTTTTCAGAGGCAAATACTTCAAAAATGATACATTCTTATAGTTAGTTCTCAATAATATCCAGTTAAATTCTGATGCTGCCTTGAGCTCTTAAATTCTGGACAGAAAGTTATGAAATTGCATGGCTTCCATCCGAACCAACTCAGCACCTGTTTTACTGCTGTTGCTTTATTTTGCTTTTAGAGAAGGAAAATCTTTGCAGGTGATACAGATATTTTTGTAAGCAGTGTTTTTAATGAGTTAGTAGAGCCTACCATGGTTCAGATCCCAACTCTGCTAGTTAATTGCTTTGTGGTTGTGTGCCATCCTGTAAATTCTGACTCATAGCAGCCCTGTATAGGGTTTCCAAGGCTATAAATCTTTAAGGAGTGGCTTATAGTTAGCAGCTGGACTCATAACCCACTGTGCTACCAGGGGTCCTTTAATTGCTTTATATTCCTATGCAAATCTAACCTCTTTGGGCTTTAGGTGTTTTTTTTTTTTCATCTTTGAATAGGGGATTAAATAGTACCTATCTCAAAGGTAGTTAAGACAATTAACTGAGTTAGTTTGTGAAAAGAACTTTGTCACCTGGCACATAGCATGTACTACAAAATTTTAGCTGGCTGTTTTAATAATCTGTACTTTCTTTTTTTTTTTTTTTTCTTATATGGAATTCCACAGAATCTTTTAAGGGAATATTATAGAGACAGATAAAAGAAGTTTTTGTCCTGTGATATGTCCTGTGACTAAGATTGGCTCTGGTTTTTGCTTTTGTCTATGGTTGTTATTTTAAATACTGTTGTGTTAGTTTTGACTCAGAGAAAGTCTGTATAATACAGAGTTTGTGAGGAGTGGCTGGTGGATTTGAACTGCCTGACTTGCAGTTGGCAGTCTAGTGCTTATCCAGTGCTACAAACACCAGAACTACAGCAATTCTACTTTTTTTTTTTTTTAATTGGTTTTGAAGATTTACTTAGGGTATTGATAATTCTGGTCAAAATACTAGAGATACTGTAGTTAAAAGCATCAATTTCCTCTTAGGTTTGCTCTCAGGAGCGTGGTGGCTCTGTAGAATGAGCACTGAATTGTGAACCATAAATTAGGTGGTTTGAGAATACCAAGGGAGAAATATGAGGCTTTCCCTTGCCACCAAGATTTACAGCCTTAGAAACCCTATAGAGAGTCGCTTATGAATTGGAACTGACTCAACAGCATTTAGCAACAACAATATGTTTGGTCTATATTCCTTTTTAGCTATTTTAATGGTATTTTTCATACTTAGCTCATGAATTCCCTTCAGATACTCAGGTAGACCATAGTGTTGTTGCTGTTGCTAAGTGCAGTAAAGTCAGTTCTGACAGTTAGTGACCCTGTATAGGGTTTTTGAGGAGCGGCTGCTGGGTTTGAACCCCTGACCTTGCGGCTGGCAATCTAGTGCTTATCCTACAGTGCCACATTAGGACTATAGCATTAGACACATTTATATGACTCAGTCACCTTGCGTCTACCCTGCACTTGTAGGTACTAGATGTGTAGTTTATTTGATACCTCCTACTGAGTATATAAAAATTCTTTATATCTTTGATAATATCAATAGAGGGAACTCATTAAGTTTATATGCATACTGGTTTTGTTTTCCAAAAACTGTAATACCAAAGTTAATGTTATTTGAAATCTCTTATAGATTAATAATTTGTTAAACTCTTTCTGAAGAGTATTATTTAAATTCTTGTTTTGATCATCAGAATAAAGGCTCAAGCATCAGAAAATATTTAGATTTTTTTTTTCTAAATTTCAGTATGTGTGTTGTAATATTCAAGTTACGTTTATCCAAACTTCATCCTTGGTTTCCTATGTTTGTATCTTTTGGATCAAAATGTAACTTTTTTGCCTACTAATTTCTGATGATGATAATCCATTTCAGTAATGTTGAATGCTTTAATGAATTAAATATTGAAAAGGATCAAGGTGCAGTATCCTTTTTTAGATTGAACTCCAATCTTTTCTAATAAACCTCAGTGTGAATTAGGAGTTTTGAGGCTCCCTCAAGAAGGTTCGTGAAGTCAGAAATCATGCTCGGGTGAAAAAGATTGTTCAGGATATTAGATAGACTGATGGATGTTAATGTGATTGTGTGTGTTATCAGATTCCATATTACAAGGAACCTTTCGGAAAATATTCCCTGTTATTTTTGATGTACTACCAAATAAACACATCTACAGGAGCTCTGGTAGCGTAGTAGTTACGAATCGGGCTGCGAACCTCAAGGTCAGCAGTTCGAAACTACCAGCTGTTCCGCAGCAGAAAGATGAGGCTTTCTGCTCCCATAAAGATTTACAACCTCAGATCCCAGTTCAGGGTAGCTATGGTTCGGAGCCGACTTGATGGCACTTAACAACAATAACAACAACAGTTATCTGAAAAAGCCATTACTTGACTCTGTCCTTTACCAACAAGTTATGTGTGTGTGTGGCCACATTTTCTTCATATACTTGAATCAAGACATGTCACGACACGTTGAATGCAGAGTAGATATAAGAATCCAGCTGTCTTTGGTTAAGGAAGGACTATAGAGAGAATTGCAAGAACGTAAAACTGTGTCACTCTTCTCACTGAAAATTTTGTTTGGGGAAACACAGTGATTTTTTCCCCCCTATGAATGTGTGTTTAAGTTAAGATGTATAAAGTGCTCTGGTAGCATAGTGGGTTATGTTGGATTGATACTGCAAGGTCAGCAGTATGAATCCACCTGCTGCTCTGAGGGAGAGAGATGAGGATTTTTCCTATAGAGATTTACAGCCTCAGAAACTCTAAACAGGGTTGCTATGAGTCAGAACTGACTAAGAGGCACGCAACAGCAAGTTAAGATGTGTATTTAAGTTACACTATTTAAATAAACCTTAACATTCCAGTTTAATTTCTAATATAGTAAAGATCACATAAACAAATCTCTTTGGAATCCTTAGTACTTTTGAGAGTGAAAGGCATCCTGAGACCAAAAAGTTTAGAAATGCAGGACTATTCATATTATATCATCTTCATAGTTTGATGAAGAAAAATGTGTTTCTTGTATTAGACATACTGAATGTTGCCAATTGTTGTTGTAGCCTTACTGAATATTGGGAATCCCTTGTTTTGGGCTTGTTAAATGCCATCGAGTCGGTTCCAACTCATAGCCACCATGTATATACAGTTTTCAAGGAGCAACTGGTGGGTTTGAACCACCGACCTAGTGGTTCAAACCGACTTTGTGATTTAAACTGACCTTGTTGTCCAGCACATTATTCTGCTGCGCTACACCAGGACTCCCTACGTGGCACAAATTGTTGTGTTGGGCTAGGCTACTAACTGAAGGGTTAGCTGTTCAAATCCATTGAGAGGTATCTAGGAAGACAATCCTGGTGATTTATTTCTGAAGGGTCATAGCCATTGAAAACCATATGGAGCACAGTTCTACTCTGTGGGTCACATGGGGTCACCATGAATTGGGATGGGTACAAAGGCAACTGTTTTGTTTAGTTCCCCTTCCCCCTTGTGAATATAGGAAGGAGTGCCTAGCAAATAAGAAAAAATGGTTCTCATTCTCATCTAGATTTATTTTTCAAGCCAATAGAAATGAGTAATCTTTGAGATGCTTGTGTTGTCTGTTTCATTTTATTGGCGTTCTGTGAGAGTGGTGATGACCATTGTCTGTTAATAATTTCTAGTGAATGGGTTTTCTGTGAGTGCCAAATTGTAAAGTAAATTATGACAGAGCTAAATGTAAAAGCCCTTAGGATGGACACTGGACCTAGTTGGGTCATTTAGATTGGCGTTCCCCTGTCAGCTTGGCCACAAACACACGGTAACCTAGATGAGTCACGTCAGCTCTCTGCCTCAGTTTGTTTCACTTTTAAA